TGTTCATCGCAAGTAAGCAACTCAGAAAATTGTGTCTACTTTAAATGGACAATTGGCCAATCTCCATCCCATAGCCTTCTAGAAAAAAACTATCAAGAAATTAGAGTGCTATACCTTAAGTCTAAGCAACTACTTAGTTCAGCACCCATCCCTCCCTACTCCCGCCATCTTTGCATTTCACAAGAAAACCAACAAAGAAAATGGAATCCTAATAAAAGAAAATTAATCACCTAAGGATATACAATTAAAGGGAAAAAATGGTCTAGAGTCCAGGCCTCAGAACTTCTGTTTTTTTCTTGTTTTCTTTGCATATCAGCCTCTCTGATTTTACTCTTAAATACAGAAACTATTTAGGTGATAGCAACTGCTGTAGTTGTGGGAATACTTTACTTCTGTGCATACAGTGATAACAAGGAAAGGTGGAAGGCCTGCTATGTCCAAATTGCTTTGAATGAAGTAACAATTTTAACCCTGAAGATAAGAATATGTTCTATTTAGCCTTTTTTTTTTAAAAAAATTTAACACTTGTTTCTTCCCAGTATACCAGATAAAGGAGGCCTAATAAGCATAAAAGGTCCTGGGGCCTCTAGGACAAGGGGACAAAAGGCAACAGTACCAAATAAGTTCAGTTTATTCTCCATCACACAAAACATTCCTTCAGGCTTACTCTTGCCCTGTGCATACCACTGGACTAAAAATAGACCCAATGTTTATTCCTGGAACATTGTTTAGTTTACTATTGTTAAATTCTCCAGGCAAAGTGTTTTTCCTAGGAGATTGCTTCTGGGGATCACAAAAGCTAAGGTTCTCCTGGATTACTCCTGCAAAACATACTGCTCTCCTGGTCCCTTGTAACATGAACACAAACTCTAGTCTTTTTCCATTACACAAATTTAACAAGCCAGCTGTCATCTCTATGCCTCTGTTTTCTTGCCTGTAAAATGGCAACAACTGGTTATTTCATGGGTTTTGTATGGCTCTATAAATGAGTGCAAATGCACAGGATTATTATAGCTGGCAGAGACCCATAAGAAGCATATTTTTTTCAATACTACCTATTATTTAAAAAGAGAAAAATGTTGGAAAAGTTTCTCTAAATGTTATCTTTGTACATTTCACCTGTCCCTCAGGTATCCCACAGCTTCTGACATGCATGCAGTTTCTCTCACTCCACCTCTACTCTGCTGTATTGGCCAGAGAATGGATCCTGACTTGATTTTGCCAGTCAGACAAATGTCAATCACTGTGCAAAGCCATTTAAAGTCTAGAGTGGCCATCTTATAATCAATAATGGGAAAGGTGATTACAAATGGGATTGAATTTTTTTGTAATATGTCTTTATGGATTTTTTAAAAAAGATATCTGATGAACATATCCTGTTATGCCTCTTACATGGTATATAGAAACTTGTTACAAATAATCAGACACCAGGCGCGGTGGCTCAAGCCTGTAATCCCAGCACTTTGGGAGGCCGAGGCGGGTGGATCACGAGGTCAAGAGATCGAGACCATCCTGGTCAACACGGTGAAACCCCGTCTCTACTAAAACTACAAAAAATTAGCTGGGCATGGTGGCGTGTGCCTGTAATCCCAGCTACTCAGGAGGCTGAGGCAGGAGAATTGCCTGAACCCAGGAGGCGGAGGTTGCGGTGAGCCAAGATCGCGCCATTGCACTCCAGCCTGGGTAACAAGAGCGAAACTCTGTCTCAAAAAAAAAAAAAAACCAAAAAAAACAGAACAAAAAAAAAAATAATAATCAGACAACTGTCTTAAGAGGACCCTATTCTAACTAGTCAATGTATTATAGACTTCTTTTTATATAAATCCAATATGCCATGAGATCCCGAAGGTTAATAATCAGGTGTTATAAATCTTTTATCCTTTACAGAGTTAATTAATGGTAAAAGTAATCTAGTGCCAGTATAGTGTCACTGAATGAATTGTCATTAGAGACTGAACTTTAGATTGTTTTTTTTAGTAGTACAAGAAAGGCATGAATTGACACAGCCTTCATTGATAGTCAGGTATGGCCAAGGTGTAGATAGAGTCATTAAAGTGAAACTGAGTTAAACAAATCAGCCTATGTGGACTAAATATACCAAAAGCTTAGTATCTTACAACCAAGGTAACCACCCAGCGACAAAGTAATAATGGCTCCTATTGGTGTCGTTAGCATTATCACTATAACTTTTTTTTTTTTGGTCTGGCTAATAGGAGAAAAAATAGGATTGAAACAAATATTGCCTGCTATGTTCTCTGCTCTCCTTTCGAAGCTCACAACAATCTTATGAGGAAGAGAGGGAAATCATGGTTATGTTAATATAAAGTACAAAGATCTCTTTTCTAGTCTTCAACCCAGGTCTTTTGACCCCCAGATCAAAATTTTGAATTTTACCTCTGATTATAGACATCTCCTCTCTCAATGCTTTTGATTAAGAAATGTGAAGTTGTGGGCCGGGCGCGGTGGTTCACGCCTGTAATCCCAGCACTTTGGGAGGCCGAGGCGGGTGGATCACGAGGTCAAGAGATCGAGACCATCCTGGTCAACATGGTGAAACCCCGTCTCTACTAAAAAATACAAAAAACATTAGCTGGGCATGGTGGCGCGTGCTTGTAATCCCAGCTACTCAGGAGGCTGAGGCAGGAGAATTGCCTGAACCAGGAGGCGGAGGTTGCGGTGAGCCGAGATCGCGCCATTGCACTCCAGCCTGGGTAACAAGAGTGAAACTCTGTCTCAAAAAAAAAAAAAAAAAGAAATGTGAAGTTCTTTGTAAACATGAATTCACAATCAATGGTGAAAGCAATAACTTTGATGGATTATTATGACCTTTATTTTACAGAGGAATAAATTCAAGTAAAAAGAGATAAATTGTTTCGACTTAGCCAACAATTAGATATAAAGCCCAGGTTTATTTTATTTATATCATTCATTCATGTAGTTATTAATTTGGTGAATATTTGTTAATCATCTACTATGAGCCAGGTATCTGGAATATGCTGAGAATCCAGAATGAATAAAAAGAATGAAAATCCTTGCCCTTAGGGAACCCAAATGTTAGTGGGAGGAATCAGACAGTAAAGCAGTAAGGACATAAGGAGAGTATTGTATATGTGTTGAAATTTTAATTAAAACCATAGGAAAAGTCTCACTGAAAAGACAATATTTGAGTAAAAGTTTGAAGGAGATGAGAGAGACAGCCATGTAGCTATCTGAGGAAAGCATTCCAGGGAAATGGAACTGCAAGGGCAAATGTCCGGAGTTACAGGAAAGACACCAGTATGGTGAGGACAGACTGAGAGGGAGGAGAGTGGAAGACTGAGTCAGAGAGGTGGCAGTCATTGGACCTAGGGATGGAGGGAACATGTCAACCTTGAGACCTTGAATGTTATTGCTCCAACTTTGCCTGATGACATGGTTTGGCTCTTTGTCCCCACCCACATCTCAGCTTGAATTGTAATAATCCTCACATGTCAAGGGTGGGACCAGGTGGGGTTATTGGATCAAAGGGGGGAGGGTTCCCCATGCTGTTTTCATATTAAGTCTCAAGAGATCTGATGGTTCTGTAAGAGTCTGACATTTCCCCTACTTGTACTCCTTCTCTCTCCTGCTGCCCTGTGAAGAGATGCCTTCCGCCGTGATTGTAAGTTTCATGAGGCCTCCCCAGTGATGTGGAACTGTAAGTCAATTAAACCTCTTTCTTTTATAAATTACCCAGTTTTGGGCAGTTTTTTTTATAGTGGCATGAAAACAGACAAATATAGTAAATTGGCACTGATAGAATGGGATGCTGCTGTAAATAAAAAATGTGGAAGCAACTTTGGAATTGGGTAACAGGCAGAGGTTGGAACAGTTTAGAGGGCTCAGAAGAAGGCAGGAAGATGTGGGAAAATTTGGAACTTCCTAGAAACTTGTTGAATGGTTTTGACCAAAATGCTGATAGTGATAAGGACAATAAGGTTCAGGCTGAGGTGGTCTCAGATGGAGATGAGGAACTTCTTGGGAACTGGAGCAAAGGTAACTCTTGCTATACTTTACAAAGAGACTGGTGGCATTTTGTCCCTGCCTAAGAGATCTGTGGAACTTTGAACTTGAAAGAGATGATGTAGAGTATATGGTGGAAGAAATTTCTAATTGGCAAAGCATTCAAGAAGAAGTGGAGGATGAAAGTTTGAAAAATTTGCAGCCTGATGATGCAATAGAAAAGAAAAATCCATTTTCTGGGGAGAAATTCAAGCTGGCTGCACAAATTTACATAAGTGATTAGGAGCCAAACATTAATCACCAAGTCAATGGAGAAAATGTCTCTAGGGCATATCAGAGACTTTCATGGCAGGCCCCTCCCATTGCAGGCCTAGAGGCCTATGAGGGAAAAATGGTGTCCTGGGCCAGCTCCAGGGTCCCCTTGCCATGTGTAGCCTTGAGACTTGGTGCGCTGCATCCGAGCCACTCCAACCATGGCTAAAGAGGTCAGACTACAACTCAGTCTGTTGTTTCAGAGGGTGCAAGCCCCAAGCCTTGGCAGCTTCCATGTGGTATTGGGCCTGTGGGTATGCAGAAGTCAAGAACTGAGGTTTGGGAACCTCCACCTAGATTTCAGAGGATGTGTGGAAATGCCTGGATGTACAGGCAGAAGTCTGCTGCAGGGGCAGAGCCATCATGGAGAACCTCTGCTAGGGCAGTGCAGATGAGAAATGTTGGGTTGCAAACCCCACACAGAGTCCCTACTAGGGCACTGCCTAGTAGAGCTGTGAGGAGAGGGCCACCACCCTTCAGACCCCAGACCCTGGAATGGTAGATCCTCCGTTAGCCTGTGCACCTAGAAAAGCTGCAGGCATTCAATGCCCCTCTGTGAAAGCATCCTAGAAAGTGGCCATACCCTGCAAAGCCACAGGGGCAGAGCTGCCTAAGGCTGTGCAAGCTCACCTCTTGCATCAGTGTGTCTTGGATGTGAGACCTAAAGTCAAGAGAGATCATCTTGGAAGTTTAAGTTTTAATGACTGCCCTACTGGATTTCAGACTTGTATGGGGACTGTAGCCCCTTTGTTTTGACCTATTTCTCCCATTTGGAATGGGAAGATTTACCCAATGACTGTACCCTCATTGTGTCTTAGAATTGACTACCTTGCTTTTGATTTTACAGGCTCATGAGTGGAAGGGACTTGCCTTGTCTCAAGTGAGACTTTGGACTTGGAATTTTGGGTGAATACTAGAATGAGTTAAGATTTTGGGGGGACTGTTGGAAGGGCATGATTGTGTTTTGAAATGTGAGGACATGGGATTTGGGAGGGGCAAGGATGGGATGATATGATTCGACTGTGTGTCTCCACCCAATTCTCACCTTGAATTGTAATAATTTCCATGTGTTAAGGATGGGACCAGGTAGAGGTAACTGAATCATAGGGGTGGTTTCCCTCATTCTCTTCTCATGATAATAAGCAAGTTTCACAAGATCTGATGGTTGTATAAACATCTGGCATTTCCCCTACTTGCACTCATTCTCTCTCCTGCCACCTGGTGAAGAGGTGCTTTATGCCATGATTATAAGTTTCCTGAGGCCTCCGCAACCATGTGGCACTGTGAGTCAATTAAACCTCCTTTCTTTACAAATTACCCAGTCTTGTGTGTTTCTTCAGAGAAGCATGAGAACAGCAAATACACCTTATATTCAGCAAGATGGAAAGCCATCAGGACGTTTTCAGCAAAGATGTGACCATACCATGACTTAGCTCTTCCCATGACATGATGGCTCTGATGGCTGTGTTAAGAATAGACTAATAAATACAAGTATGTAGGAATGGCAAACATTTAAGAGGGTAAATCATTAACTCAAGCAAAAGATGGTGATAGTTCAGGCCACGCTACAAGCATTGGTGGTTGTGAGAGTATTTTTTTCTAATTATCACTTAGGACTATTACTCCTCTTATTTTGTTATATCACTTTAAAAAATGCCCAATGTTTAGAATGATAATCCTTAAACACTGAAGTGGAGGAGAAATGCAAAACAACTTTTGGTCTTTAAGGGTAGTTATGGAGTAAAGAAGTTGGGCACAGAAAAGAGTGAAATGCTAATTACTTGAAACTGTTTTTTCCCACTAGATGTAATAGCAATAGTCTCCAAAGACTCACACATCACATAAAACTTAGCCCTATTTGTAGTCACACTTCTATTGTTGATTAGAAAAGATAATTCTGTAGGTTAGTTCTTGTTTGTACCCATAGTTGGCATTTGCTTTACAAAAAAAAGTCAAGTTCTGGAACATTCTTTGGCTAATATATTGAGCATACTTACTAGGGTGGTGGCACTTCTCAGAAACCAGAACAGATTTATGAAACAAATTTGTTCCTCAGAGGTCTTGGTCGTGGTCCCAACGCTCTCCTTTTTGGAGACCAGAGACTCTAGCATCAGTCGAGCAGTGCTTCCTCCTTAAAGGTGTGGGCTACAGGTCCAAGGGGCCACTAATTCAAACTTTTAAGTTTAACTTCAACAGGATCACTTTGCTCCCCCAACTCTAGAGGTAGCAGCTGCTTCCTGCAGTTTCTACCCTAGTGATAATTTTGTCTTTTTTTGCTTTTAAATGTATCCAGTGAACAACTTTTATATCTAATTAACAGTTTTTCATATTAAATCCTTTTTTTAAAAACTACTCATGATTTTGACCTCCTAACTGAATTGAATCAGAAATTGGAATCAATATTGTCCCAGGAAATAGTTCTTTGAAGATGAAATTTTGACATTGGTTTGGTAATTCCTTGGACTTGAGTTCAGTGCTGAGATTCTGGCCTTGAGAAATGAGATGCTGGTAATTTATGACATGCAGTGGTATTACAGTCAAATTATTATTCCTGATTGATCGGACTGGTGTATCTAGTGCAGCAAGTGCCTCAGAATGCCAAGTATCTCATACACTTAACTCTGTGGTAGATATATAGCAGTAAGTCCTGCAAGGACTTTGGTATATGAGTGTGTCTGTGTGTGTAGGGGGGTGTAGGTGGGTGTACACAAGCACTTCAAGAGAATAACAAACTCAGATCTTTAAACACTAAGCCTGACTCATGGTTAGAGAGCCCTAAAAGAGCCTCTAATTTTGTAACCAGAAGGTCAATATTGTTTGTCAGAAACCAAACACAAGATTTAATCCTGTAGGTTGCAGAAGTGTCATAGCCTCCCAAATTTCTCATGTGAAACTTTGAGTCCCCCCCCCCATGGATCCATTGGGAAGTAACGGATCCACGAGGATGGGTAAACCTGGATGGACTCAGCTATCTCAGCATATTGAAACCTGACTCACTGTGACTTTTCCTTGACAGTGGGAACAATCTTCCCTTTTATATCTGAGGAAGCTAGTCTTCTCTTGCTTGAAGAACTGCTAATAACCTTAATTAGATGTTCATTATTCTCAAAACCCACTCCAACGGAAATTACAAAACAGAGAAAAAAAAAAAACAGGAGAAACACTTTGTTACTTTGATCAGGGCAAGGATGTTTTGAACAAGACCTCAAAAGCATAGGCAACAAAAGTAAGAATAGACAAATGGGATGTCATCAAACTAAAAAGCTTCTGCACAGCAAAGAAAACAATCAACAGAATGAAGAGAAAACCTCTAGAATGGGTGAAAATATTTACAAACTATGTATCTGATAAGGCATTAGTATCCAGAGTGTGAAAGAAACTCAAAAAACTCGATAGCAAAAAATAAAATAAAATAAATCTGATGGGCAAAATATCTGAATATACACTTCTCAAAACAAGACATACAAATGGCCAAAGGATATATAAAAAGTGTCCCACATCACTAATCATCAGGGAAATGCAAATTAAAACCAGAATGAGATAACTCCTCACCTCAGTTAGAATGGCTGTTGTCATAAATAAAAAATGGCACATGTTGATGAGGACGTGGAGAAAGGAGAACTCTTATACACTGTTAGTGGAAATATAAATTAGTATAGCCATTACAAAACAACAGTATGGAGGTTCCTTTTTATAGAACTACCATATGACTCAGCAATCCCACTACTGGGTATATATGTCCAAAGGAAATGAAATCAGCATATCTAGGAGATATCTGTACTCTCGTATTTATTACAGCATTGTTTGTAACAGCCAAGATATGGAACCTATGTAATTGTCTATCAACAGAAGAATGGATTTTAAAAAATGTGGTATATAAATACAATAGAATACTATTCAGAAATTAGAAGGAGGAAATCCTGTTATTTGCAACAACATGGATGAACATAGAGGACATTATGTTAAGTGAAATAAGCCAAACACAGAAAAGGAAATACAACATGGTCTCACACCTGTGGAATCTAAAAAGTTGATCTCATAGAAGTAGAGACTAGAACAGTGATTGCTGGAGGCTGCAGAGGTAGGAAGGAAGAGGGAATGGAAAGAGGTTGGTTAACAGAAGGAATAAGTTCTGGTGTTCTATTGCATAGTAGGGTGACTATAGTTAACAATTATGTATTGCATACTTCAAAATAGCTAGAAGAAAGGATTTTGAATGTTCTTGACACGAGGAAATGACAAGTGTTTGAGGTGATGGACATGCTAATTACCATAATTGTATCATTACACAATGTGTACAGGTACTAAAACATTACACTACATTATATAAATATGTGTAATTTTTATGTATTCATTAAAAACAAAATGAAACTCAAAAAAGCCTTACCACAATGACTTTATGTTGCTCCCAGACCCATAACTAGATTTTAATCCCAGCAAATTTGGATGGGGGCAAGTATAAAGTCCAACCTGGGAGGAAACAGCTTATACACTAAGATAATTGCAAGGTTTTGATGATTTATGTAATTCAAACTGGTGGAATGTGTAGATCAAGGAATATGGAATATAACCCTGGGTTGTGTCTAATTTATTGATATGAGTTCTCCTGCCAGATACTCTAGATTACAGCTGGAAGTAGTGCTAAAAGTGTATTTGGTGGATTGATTAATACTTGGGCTATGTCTAATGAGGGTAAGATGTTAGATCTTTCCTAGCTTAAAGGGAAATAAAGCCAAAGGCTTGGAGATATAGGAATGCTGAAGAAGATTTATCATTTGTGCCCTACACACCCACCAACCCCTACGCTTCATTCCTTAAAGGGGTCTAGATAACAATTTCTTCTTCCCCAAGGCATTAAGAAATATGTTAGTGAAAGGAGCAGCAGCAACCTTAAAAGGCTGAACTATATCGGTACCCTATCACCCCATAATTGCAGTGGGAGATGCCACCATTAAGATGGGCTCTCTTATTTCATTGAGATTGAAGAGGCCTGGGAGAGAAGTGGCCAATTGGCAATGCCTTATCACATAGGACAAGGTGGGTGCATTTATTGTAATGCACAACAGGACACAGTGATAGTCAGAATTCCTCTGACTCAGAAGACTTTATAGTGGCCAGTTAATCTTTAAGAAATAGAGGCTGGGTGCGGTGGCTCACACGTGTATTCCCAGCACTTTGAGAGTCCAAGGTGGGAGGATCACCTATGGTCAGGAGTTTGAGGCCAGTCTGACCAACATGGTAAAACCCCATCTCTATTAAATATCCAAAAATTAGCTGGATGTGGTGGTGCACGCCTGCAATCACAGCTACTTGGGAGTCTGAGGCACCTGGGAGGTGGAGGTTGCAGTAAGTCAACATTCCAGCCTGGGTGACAGAGTGAGACCCTGCCTCAAAAAAATAAATAAATAAAAATTAAAAATAAATAGAGAAGCAGCTCACTAAAATTTTGCTTTATGTAACAGGAAAAACTCCAGTTCTGGTGGTCAGAAACCTGACTTTGGTCATGTCAACAAAGAACCCCTGTCTTTTACCTAGTTTCCACACCTAAGCCAGTTCACAGTTCAAGTCCTTTGAGTGCTGAGAGGTCTGGTCTCCTTGAGAATCTCCTCTGTTGCTCTGTCACAAGTATACACTGTAAAGATTCTTCTGAGCTTTCCATGAAGTGACCTGTGGCCATTTAATAAGGTGTCTATACATGGAGAAAAGGAGAACCCAGATCTTTTAGGAATGACTAAATACTGCCTGTTGAGGATCTGATCACCACTTTTGTCCACCAGTCAAGGTGGAGGCTTATGGAGGTCAGGTGATACAGTGGCCCCCAACCTCTTTGGCACCAGGGACCAATGTCGTGGAAGACAATTCTTCCATGTACGTGGAGTGGGGAGTTGGTGGCTTTGGGATGAAACTGTTCCACCTCAGATCGTTGGGCATTAGATTCTCATAAGGAGTGTGTAACCTGGATTCCTTGAATGCACTGTTCACAATAGGTTCACGCTCCTATGAGAATCTAATGCTGCTGTTGATCTGACAGGAGATGGAGCTCAAGTGACAATGTCACTCAGCTGCCGCTCACCTTCTGCTCTGTGGCCCAGTTCCTAACAGGTCATGAACTGGTATTGATCAGGCGGCCTGAGGATTGGAGACCCCTGAGGTAATACACTGAATTCTGGCCAAGTAAGTCCATCATTATTTCTCTGGTTCCTGAATAAAAAATTGAAAAAAAATGTATTGGCAACAGACAGATACCCCACATTGGATATCTGACGATTGAGTCTAGATCATTATAGGAAGGACCAAATGAAAACCTATGGAACCTTTATTTTCTGCTATGATAGTAAACCATAAAAATCCTGGGTTCCTGGGAGAACTGAAGATGTTAGTCTCATCATAAAAGTCTTGAAAGATGTAGAGATATTGACAGCTCTCTTATTCTAATTTAAGTCGCATGGTTGGCCTGTGCAGAAGGATTCTAGAGAATGACTGTAAATTATAAACTTGATAAGGAAACAACTCCAATGGCAGCTGCTGCTCTAGATATAGTAACTTCACTAAAATAAATCAGCACAAGTTCCTGATAAGTGGTATGCAGCTATTGAGCTGGCAAATATTTTTTCTCTATACTGATTTGCAATAAACATCAGAAGCAAATTCTTTTTATCTGGTATGACTAACAGTAAAACTTCACAGTTTTGCCTCATGGCTACACCAATTTGTCTGCCGTCTGCCATAATACAGCCTACAGAGTTTGTTTTTTTTTTTTTTTAGACGGAGTCTTGCTCTGTCACCCAGGCTGGAGTTCAGTGGTGTGATCTCAGCTCACTGCAGCTCTGCCTCCTGGGTTCAAGTAAATCTTCTACCTTGGCCTCCCGAGTAGCTAGGACTACAGGTACACACCACCATGCCCAGCTAATATTTGCATTTTAGTAGAGATGGAGTTTCACCATGTTGGTCAGGCTGGTCTCAAACTCCTGACCTCAAGTGATCTGCCCTCCTTGGCCTCTCAAAGTGCTGGGATTACAGGAGTGAGCCACTGTGCCAGGTCCCTACAGAGATCTTAATTGTCTTTCCCATACAACATTACACTGGGGAAAGAAGTTGGCTGATATCCATAAAAGGTCTCATTTTACATACATATATACAAACGGTGGGAAGGGCTGACACAGAGCGTCTCCTGTTACAATTCACTAAAAAGAACCTATTAGTTTCCTGCTACTGCTATAACAAATTACCCAAAACTTAGTGCCTGAAACAACACAGATTTATTCTCAGAAGTCTAAAGTGAACGTCACAACAGAGCTGTGTTCCTTTCAGAGGTATCTGGAAGAGCGTTTCCTGGACTTTGTCACCTTGTAGAGGCTCCTTGCTTTTCATGACCCCTTCCTTGCATCACACCAAACTTTTCCTTTCATCATCAGATCTCCTTCTACTAATTCTGATCCCCCTGCCTTCATCTTATAAGGACCCTGTGATGACATTGGACCCACTGAGATAATCCAGATTGATTTCCCCATCTCAAGATTCTTATTCTTAACTTAATCACCTTTCCAAAATCCCTTTTACCATGTAAGCTGACATGT